AAAAAAAAAAAAAAAAAAAAAAAAATCCTTAGTCATATTTGCAAAGTCCCTTTCATCATATAAAATAACATATTCATGGGTTCTGGGGATAAGGGGCCCAATGCTCTTAGTACCTTTCATGGGAATCTTTACCTCCAGAAATGGGGAGAAGTGGCCAGGGACTCCTTTGATACACAAGAGATGGCTGCCCCCTGTCACACGCCCAAATATTTACACACTTGCCTTTTTCCATCTGAGCTGGAAAGGCCCCACCTCAATGACATGGAGGCCAAGGTGAGGAAACGCAGAGCTGCAGCACCTGCTTGGCTATTATAGAGGACAAACAAAGCAGCCAAGTTTGCTTCGTGATGACTTCCAGTTCCACCTGAATGCTTTGGCCTCACATACTGCTCTCAGAGGTCTTTAAACCTGACTTCTTGTTTTTGTGATTTACAAACATACCTGGATATCCTGAAACATTAAAAAGAAGAAAATTTAAATATCTGAACATCCCACCAACTCACTGTTTTTTGTTTTGCTTTTTTTTTTGAGATGGAGTCTGGAGATGTCACCCAAGCTGGAGTGCAGTGGCGCGATCTTGGCTCATTGCAACCTCCGCCTCCCAGGTTCTCCTGCCTCAGCCACCTGAGTAGCTGGGACTACAGGCGCACACCACCATGCCCAGCTAATTTTTTGTATTTTTAGTAGAAACGGGATTTCAGCATGTCAGTCAGCATGGTTTTGATTTTCTGACCTTGTGATCCGCCTGCCTCGCCCTCAAAGTGCTGGGATTACAGGTGTGAGCCACTGCGCCCAGCTGCAACTTTCCTGACATAGATTTAAGTATACGCATTTACAAATCATTATTCATGGTGTTTTATGATCTGCTTCATTCACTCAATAATATGTTGTGATTACCTTTCTATGGCAATCAATATAGGACTACATCTCCAATTTTTGGTTCCATTGTATTGTATCAAATAACATATTTAACTAGTATACAACGCACTACTAAGTTGTTTCTAATTTTTCACTTTTATAAACAAGACTACCCTAAACCTCTTTGCTATTTGTCTAGGTATCTCCTTAGGGTAAATTTCTAAAACTTGGGTTGATGAGTCAAAAGTACATTTGTTCTACATTTGGATACTCTTATGGGTTAAATTGTGTCTCCCCCCAAAAGAACTTGAAGTTGTAATACCTAGCAATTGTAAATGTGACCTTATTTGGAAACAGAGTCTTTGCAGGTGATCAATTTAGGATGAGGTCAATAATCCAATATGACCGATGTCCTTTTATAAAGGAGAAGTGTGAACACAGACACAGACATGCAGAGAGGGAAGACAACGTGAAAACAGCCACGCAATGACAGAGGCAGATATTGGGTGAATGCAGCTGTAAGCCAAGTGTTGCTGGCCATCACCAGAAGCTGGGAAGAGGCAAGGAAGGATTTTATCCAGAGTCTCAGAGAGAACATAGTTCTGCTGACACCTCAATTTCAGATTTCAATCAGATTTCAAGCCTCCAGGACTGTGAGACAATAATTTGCTCTTTTTTTTTTGAGACAGAGTCTTACTCTGTCGCCCAGGCTGGAGTGCAGTGGCACCATCTTGGTTCACTGCAGCCTCTGCCTCCTGGTTCCAGCGATTCTCCTGCCTCAGCCTCCTGAGTGGCTGGGATTGCAGGCAACTGCCACCACACCTAGGTAATTTTTGTATTTTCAGTAGAGATGGGGTTTGACCATATTAGTCAGGCTGGTCTCGAACTCCTGACCTCAAGTAATCCACCCGCCTTCGCCTCCCAAAGTGCTGGGATTACAGGCGTCAGCCACTGCACCCAGCCAAGACAATAATTTTGTTTGTTTTAAGCCACCCAGATTGTGATAGTTTGTTATAGCAGCCCTAGCAAACAGATACAATTGCACAATGCCAAACTACCTCCCAGAAGGACTATGTCAGCTTAAACTCTCACCATAATAAACTCTTTATCTTATATTTTTACTACTGGTGATGTGTAATAACTTTTCATATGTTTTCTGTGATAGTTAATGCTGAGTGATGGCTGTGCAAGATGACACCATTTCATTCCAGCTCGGGCAACAAGAGCGAAATTCCACCTCAAAAATAAATAAATAAATAAACTTTATTTTATTCATTTATTTTTTGAGATGGAGTCACATTCTGTTGCCCAGGCTGGAGTGCAATGGCACGGTTTCAGCTCACTGCAACCTCTGCCTCCCAGGTTCAAGTGATTCTCCTGCCTCAGCCTCCCAAAGTGGGATTACAGGCATGTGCCACCACGCCTGGCTAATTTTGCATTTTTAGTAGAGATGGGGTTTCTCCATGTTGGTCAGGCTGGTCTCAAACTCTCAGGTGATGTGCCCACCTCAGACTCCTAAAGTGTTGGGATTATAGGCGTAAGCCACTGTGCCCGGGCAAAATAACAAACAACTACAACAAAAAACCTGTAATAAAACCTATTAATGTTCTATTTTATAGTTTCCACTTCTTCAGTTTTTTTTCTCATGATGGGGATTAATTAACACTTGTGAGTGGCACAAAGGATAACATCCTCATTTTACGCATGACTTGGATGACTGCGTGAGAAGAAACAAAACAGCAGAAGCTGAGTGTCACCTGGATGTTGACAAAAGTTGAGTCATGGAATAAGGAGTGGATTAAAATTCCTTTCTGAGTGTTCTCTAGCCTGATGGTCTCTGCCGCTTTAAGGGGTGAACGTCTTGTGTGTCCAGCCATCCCTCTTGGGAGGTCGGGGGACCAGAATCCTGACAAGGAGAAAGCACCACAGATGACCACTAGAGGGTGCGCTTCATTCCCCTGGACGTGCTCTGGTCCAACTGCTCTGGTCCAATCCAGGCACCAGAAATATATAGTTGGTCTTTGTCCCCATTTCCTGTCATACAACTCTTCAAATCCTCAGAATCCGGCCAGGCACGGTGGCTCACGCCTATAATCCCAGCACTTTGGGAGGCCAAGGTGCGTGGATCGCCTGAGTCTAGGAATCTGAGACCAGCCTGGCCAACATGGGGAAACCCAGCCTCTACTAAAAATACAAAAAATCAGCCGGGAGTGGTGGCACCTGCCTGTAATCCCAGCTACTTGGGTGGGTGAGGCAGGAGAATTGATTGAACAGGAGGCAGAGGCTGCCGTGAGCCGAGATCATGCTGCTGAACTCCAGTCCGTACGACAGAGTAAGATCGTGTCTCAAAAAAAAAAAAAAAAAAAAAAAAAAATCCTTAGAATTTTCAAAGTGATGTTTTTTGTATGCTAATTAGTTGACTTATGGCTGGCAGTTCATATGTGGCTTCAGGATGGGCACTGATCACTGAAGAGACCCAGACAGGATTAGAGAAATTGGCATATTTAGCTCCACCTCCCAAGAGGTGAAAGGGGCTGAAAATTAAACCTGATCACCAATGGTCGATGGTCTTGTCAATCATCCCTACATAATGAAGGTTCCATACAAACCACAAAGGACAGAGTTTAGAGAGTTTCTGGGTAGCTCACCATGTGGAGGTTCCTGCAAGGCTGTGCATCCTTGGAGGGCATGGAAGCTCTGTGCCACTTCCTCCATATCTTTCCCTATGCAACCCTTCATCTGTAGCCTTTGTAATATCCTTTATAATAAACTGGTAAGCATAAATGTTTCCCTGAGTTCAGTGAGCCACTCTAGAAAATTAATCAACCCCAAGGAGGAAGTCATGGGAACCCCAATTTATAGCCAGTAGGTCAGAAGTATGGGTAAAACATCCTGGTGCTTGTGATTGATGTCAGAAGTGACAGGAAGTCTTGTGGTACTGAGCCTTCAATCTGTGTGATCTAATGCTATCTCCAAGTTGGTAGTGCTGAAATTGAATTGGAGAACACCCACAAGGTGTTGAATGCAGAAGTGATTGCTTGTTTGTTGGCAGGGATACATTTCCACACATTTCATAGAAGTCTTCTGTGTCGATTGTGGTATGAGAGCAGAGGAAAAGCAGTTTATGTTTTGTCCACTCTGATGGTACTTGAGAAGGTGTTCAGTCTCCAGGAGTTTTCCAGCTGGGAGATCAGATAATAACAGTAAATATGAAGAAGGCAGAGAGAGCCAGATAGTGGAAGAGGAGTTTCCTACTATTTTATCTCCTCCAGAGTGCACTGGTTTTGACAACCATCCATGGATTAACATACCTTTGTGGGAGTCCAGGGAAGAAGTTCTAGAACACCATTGGAGCAAAAAATCTAAACATAGGAAGATTGAAGAGAATAAAAAGAACAGTTTCACTTTACCTACATCACCCCCCCCACAGGCATTATAGCTCCGTGACAAGACAGGACCCCCTCAGCCCATAGTAACTCCCACAGGGAAATGGAACAGTATATGAGTGAACACTTGATTTCCCCAGCTGTGAAGGATGCTTCCCAAGAGTCCTATCTCTTTCTCATTCCACCCAGAATACTGAAGGGATCCACATGAACAAATAGCTGGGAAAATGTGGGAGGAAGGAAGAGAGGCAGGAGACTCACAGGAATCAGAGTGTAAAACTCAACAAAGGGCCACATATCTTACTAGCTGCTTCACAGACTCCATCAGGGGCCTGTCCATAAACTGCTTGGGATGCCTTACCTGCAGATTCCCCAACTGGCCCATGGACACCCCAAATACTCTATGTGCTTCACCCCTCTCAGTACCCCATGGCTGGACCCCTACAGGCGTACCCTGGACAGCAAGTGTGGGGCTTTACAGATGGTTTGCAGGCACATGCATTTAACAGGCTTGACACTACATGATTGGGAGAAGGCACACAACTGAGCATTTCAGGACACTGCCCTAGGGAAAACAAATGGGAGACTCTCCATGCTTGGCCTGGCTTTGCAGTATCAATAGAAGGCATATCATCTTAGGAATACCCAAGAGAGAATGAGAGGAGTGGAGTAGGTGCATCCATAGCAAAAGTCCAAGATAGCCTCAAAATCCCTAGCCTGGCTAACTGGTGAAGGTGTTTTCCTCCCAAAGCCAGTTACTAAAGACAGGAAGAAGTGACTGCTTCAAATAAATACAAAGACAGTAATGTAAGACTTCAAGCAATATGCAAATCAAGGAAGCACGACACCCTGAAAGGAACACAATGATTTTACAGTAACCAACCCCAAAGAAGTGGAGATCTAAAAATTTCCTAACAAGGAATTCAAAATAATTGTTTTAAGGGAACACAGCAAGCTACAGCAGAACACAGACAACTCAACAAAAATTAGGAAAACAATACTTCTCCTTAAAAAAGGAGATGTTCGCCGGGCGTGGTGGCTCAAGCCTGTAATCCCAGCACTTTGGGATGCCGAGGCGGGTGGATCACGAGGTCAAGAGATCGAGATCATCCTGGTCAACATGGTGAAACCCGTCTCTACTAAAA